GGGGTTTGGGGATTCGAGTTTAGGGATTTAGAAACCCTTTTCTCGTAAAACCCTAGTAACAGAAAACGCGGGCATAGCTGTTTCCTCGTAAAGTCCTAGTAACAATGTTACTAGGACTTTACGAGGAAACCTAAACTCGGGCATAGCTGTTTCCTCGTAGAGGCCTCGTAACCCTAAACGCGGACATAGCTATTTCCTCGTAAAATTACTAGGACCTTACGAGGAAACAAAATTCCCTACATAAATTCCCTATTCCCGATTTCTCTCATTTGTAGCAATCTTCTCTCTAAATCCTCTTAAGGTTCTCTCTATTTCATAGTTAGGTGATTAGATTAGAGAATTTAGATTAGGTGATTAGCTTAGGGGATTTAGATTAGGTGGTTAGTTTAGGGAATTTAGATTAGGTTAATTTAGTTTTTTTAACTGCTTTTTCAAATGATACTAGTATATTAATGTTTTAATTTTTTTTTTGAAATTTAAATGGCTAGAAAGAGCAAGCTTGATAGGGCTAAGAGGCCTCTTCAGGGGAGTCACTATGGAGATATTTTCGGTCGTCATCCTGGTCCTCACATAGGCGCATCATCTTCTTCAGCTCCCGGTTCTTCAATTTCGGATGACGTTCTTCCCGAGACTCTAGGAGTTTCTACGGCTCCCCGGTTTGATCCACCTCCTCCTCCTCCTCCTCCACCGGTGGCCGGGGTTCATCTGGATTTGCAGGTGCCGCCAAACACTCCATTTACGGTGTACACGGTCGAGGATATTATGGCAGCTCCAGGCAGAGAAGGGGTACTTGAGTTAGATCCTGTCCGACGGGACGACGTCAACATATTATGGTATGTTTCAATTTTTAAAAATTATTTTAATTTATTTATTAATTAACCAAAAATTAACAAATTAGTCTAATTAATGTTTTTATTTTGTTTTTTTTTTCCAGGTTTAGTGTTGACGGATGTGTCGCTCAGAGCGTCACCGATTGTATCAAGGGATACTTTCCCGATGCAGCTCCAAACTGGAAAAAGACGCTCAGCCACACCAAAAAGACGTGGTTCAAATCGTTCGCTGTAAGTTTAATTAATCAACTTAATTTATTTTTAATTATTTAAATTTTTTAATATTATTGAACTAATTACTCTAATTTTTTCTGGTTACAGCAATAATATCGTTGGTCTATAGGGATTCACCAGCGGGTGAAGAAGGAGTTTGAGGCGAAGGCAAAAGTGCGATTGCTCGACATGGTCTACAACTGGAAGGGTGATTTTCAGGTGTGGATTTATAAATTTTATATATATAGTTTTATATCATTGACTTCAAATCATTTTAAAATTATTTTTTGTTCAGGTGGATGGTTACGAGGACGAGAAACCCGATTGCCTCACATTCAAAGTGTGGGATGGCCTCATCAGATATTGGGGGTTGCCGGACTCGGTCAGAATCTCCCACACAAACTCCGAAAACCGCATGACAAGAGACGAGCATGGCAACACGAAGATGCTTCACACCAGGGGCGAAAACCTCACGCGGGAATCCGTCTTGACATGGTACGTAAATTAATATTTTAATAACTAATTATTTTTTACTCTATTTCTATATACCTAATTAATATTTAATTTTAAAAATTATTTTTAGGCTAAAGAGACAGGAGTTCTTCCATCTCTGAAAGAGCTTTACGAGAGGACCCACCGGAACAAGGCTGAGCATTTTGAAGATCCTAGATCCGAGCGGATCTACAACGAGGTTGTTGCTCGGGTTGACCAACGCCAGACCCAGCTGACTCAGCAGTCTGGGACACCAGTCATATTATCTACTCCTGAAGTGGATAAGATTTACAAGGAGGTAAATAATTTGTTTTTCTATTAATTTTTATTATTTATTTAACTTATTTTTTTTAACGTTATTAATCTTTTCATTTAAAGATCGCCCCTAGGAAAAAAGGACGTATTGTCGGGATTGGTAACAGCACGATGTCACTGCTCAACTGCGCTCGGAGTTGCAAGCGACACAATCTCATGTGAGTTCTCTCTCTGATATCCTGGACGTTTTGGTGGTTGGAAACCCGCAATTGGCGGAGATGTTTCGTGTGAGACAGGAAAATGGAGGGCTTCCAACCAAACAGCATTCACCGTCACAGTCACAGCTGACGACCAACATTGACGAGGAGTAGTTGGCGAGCCGGGACGACTTCATTCGGTGATTTAACGAGCACCATCCGTAGTTTTTTTATTTTTAATTGTATATTATGAATTGAAAACTTAAATATTTAGTTATTTATAAAATATTTTCTTATTTCTTTTTTATTTATAATTTGGTTTCTTTAATTTTTTTAAAAATATATTATTTATATTTATTTTAATTAATATTTTTTTAATAGAGAAAAACATTTCATAGTAAATTCCTCGTAATTATTTCAAAGTAAAGTCCTCGTAAACTTTCGAAGTAAGTTCCTCGTAAAGCATTATGACGAGCTTACGAGAAAATGTGTTACTATGACTTTACAAGGAAATATGTACGAGGACGTTGCGACAAAATATGTATCCACGCGTTTACGACGAAACGTTTCCTCGTAAATTAACTAGGAACTTACGAGGAAAAAGGCTTTACGATGAACGTCTTACGAGAAAACGCGTTTCCTCGTAAGTTCCTAGTAAATGGTCCTTTACTAGGAAGTTACGAGGCAAAATGGTCCTAGTAAAACTTGGGTTTTTTTGTAGTGAGTCTGTTGAGTTACTTTTGCAGTTGACTATATTTGAATTTTCTAGAGAAGACTTCTTTAGAAGTCTTCCGTAGGATGACTTCTATAGAGGTCTTCTCTCGCGTGCAAAGATTTGACCAAAACCCATAATTAAACTCGAGAAGACTTCTTTACAACTTCTTCTTTTTGTTAAATGCTTTACTTTTATTTTTCAATTGCAAAAGTAACCCACGCAGACATCTTCCGGTATTGAGAAGACTTTCAGAAGACTTATGTAGAAGTTTTCTCCTGTAAAACTACTAAAGAAGCCTTCTACAAAAACTTAAATTCTGACCAACTTTGGTCAAATTTAAAACTAATATGTTTATCCGGGAAGACTTCTACGGAAGTCTTCTCTTAGAAATTTGCAATTCTTTTGCTTACAAAGGAAAGTTAGAAGAATTCTTGAGAAGTATTCTATTAAAAACACACAAACGGTCAATTGCAAAACTAACTTATGCATCGACCAGAAGACGTTTAGAAGACTTCTAGAGATGTTTTCTCGATGAAGAAGTCGAACAGATCTGAAAAATATAATGTTGTTCGCAATTTCAGACCTTGAACTCGTGAAATGACATGCGTGGTTTCTCCAATTACCCAGAACTTCACCACAATAGCTACCTACTCGTTAATCACTGAAAATCGCGAGCTTATAAACCTTACCTAATTTGTAATCAAAATCTTCAGTTTTTTTGATGAATTTTGAGAGAAAGTGTAAGACATGTGGTTTCTGTGGATAGAAAATGAGAAAGGATGAGAAAAAAATAAAACTTTAGGGCATTAACATTCTCAATTTGGTAGTTTATGGTGGTTGAGGTATTGATGTCAATGGAAAAGTTGTAAATATTTGGTGAAGATGAGGATGGTAAAGTAAAAGCATTATTTTTGAAAAAAAAATAATGGCATTTTCATGAATAACTAGAACTTCTAGGGTGAATAGGACAAAACAAAATTTCAAAGAAAGCATATGTTACTTTTGTGTTTGACTTGAAATTTTTAGTCATTTTTAAAAAAGAACATAAGTCACATTTAATTCACTTTTAAATGTGAATTATTTCACGGAAAATATGCAAACTTTTGATACAAACAACTAGCGAAAGTTAATTAATTGACTTCTCAATAAAAATATAGGAAAATCTATATAATACATAAGAATATTTTGTAAATCTCTTTTTAAGCAATTCATTTAAAACGTGAAATAATTTACCAGTTTTAACAATAAATATGAATCAATAAATTTGTTGAGAAAATTAAATATGTTTTCTTATCTAAAATTACTTTTATACTTTACTTTAAATTATATTATATATTATTTGTATATTATTATCTATATACATTAATACACAAGTAGTAAAACTACTAATCACTTATTGTATTTTTAATTATTATTTATAAAATATGCAAGAAAAAGTTTTGAAATATCTATTTTCTTAAAACATTTATTTTATTTGCACAACATAATTTTTGAGACAATCCAAGCATTAATGACACAATTTCTTTTAATACATATTTGTGATTACCATTATTGATAAGAATGATTTGTTTGGTTATTGATGTAATTTAATTTTTTTAACACTAAATTAAATAATTCAGAAATAAGAAACCACCAATCAAATTAATATAATTAATCAGAGACTTTTTTAATGAGTAATTTTTTTTTCATGAGTGAAATATCAGCAAAAAAATCACTTAAATAACTTCTAAATTAACATATAAGAAGATTTTTTTAAGGATACAATTCTAAAAATGTATAATTTTTAATACATATATAAATTTAGAGTTGAATGTTAAACTATACTAATATTTTAAAATTTGGGGCCAATCTTTTTTAAAAAAAAAATCAAATATATATAGATGCAGTTATAAAAATTTTAAAATATATCATTATCTTTCAGACATATCTTTAACAAATTTTTAATAGAGTTTATAAATCATTTAAAACAGCATTGCATATCATTAAATAACTTTATAAATTTTAGACCAATCAGGTTGTCTTTTTTTGGTCATGTAGTAGATTTATATTAACTTGAACATGATCGAGATTGTCTATATCATTGTTAATAGTCTTAGCTCACTGATAATGTTGTCCTCATACAAACTTTTTTTTTCTCATACAAACTTTATATATATTACCACACCAACGTAGTAAGCGTACACCAACATAACTTTCAAAATACATATGACTGCAAACATATGACTATATATAATTTCATAAAATAAAATATTGGATAAGGGTGTCTCAGTTACTCTTGAGTAGGCCCATATATAAGACTCATGCAAGTGGGTAGAAAGAAAGTCTGGCCAAACCACATATTCCTTCTCGTGCATCAACGTCTCTCTTGATTCTCATGTAACCATTCTCTCCCCAAGACTCTCCCCATGAGTTCTTCACCAACCAGTACTTAGTCCCTTCTTCACGTACCCTGTAACCAATAATCGCAACCGCATGAGTCATTGCCGTCCCGCATTCACCATTAAACACTCCGCCTGAATAGTACTTAAACGCAGCACCTGACCCATCTATCACCGTGGAAACAGGCTGTTGCGACACTGCTTTTAGCAATGCTTCCTCGTCATTACTTGGGATAGTTTCGTATCCGCTGATCGTAGCAGCAAGGTAAACAGGTGATTGGCTGGTGGATTCACACGTTTGTTGTGATCCCTGGTAAGGATAGTTATCCTCTGTGGTGATTCCTTGGTTGTTGATTACGTACTCGAAAGCTTTCGACATTATCCCTCCGCCACATCCCTTGTTGTAGTCTCTGCTGCAATCCATAAGTTGCTGCTCTGAAAGCGAGACGAGTTCTCCCTTAGCAATCTTCGTTATGCCTTCCACGGCCGCCACGGCCGAGAAAGCTCAGCAACATCCTGTGATATGGTAACGAATGAAGGCTCATACTGATAATTGGATAAATAATTAACTAGTATATAATTAAAGAGATAAAAGTAATTTATATATCACCAATTGGAAGCAAAATTGGTATTTAATATGCTAAACTTTAACATGCATTTTCAAGATCCATCTTCTATATATTTTTTGAAATAAAAGAAAATAAACTTATATGTATGGACCCTGCCATGTAGCCTAGTAGTTTATATCTCGCTTTTACCGTTTGGAATTCAAACGGAATAAAATGTACATTATTATAAAACAATTAAGACTAGGTTAATACTCGTGCATTTGTGCGGGATAAGAATTATATATATAAATTATTTTATGTCTTATTTTTTATTTTATATTCTTTTATATATTATAAAATAATAAATATATATATATTGAATAATTGAAAATTTTGTAACTATTATATATACAATTAATTTAGCGAGCACTTAAATAAAATAATCATATTTGTTTATTTACAATCACTTATATAAGTAAATATAATTAATAAATGATATTATATATATATATTATACTTTTAGTTTGGAGATTTAATAAATGTTGCTTCATGGAGCATATTGCAAGTTGCCGGCGAGCCTTATGCGACTGGAAAAGGTAACATAATCTGAATTCGGAGAAAAGTGTGAAGGAGTTGAAAGATAAGGTGGATCAATTATCTTCAAACGATGATGCCACTACATAGGAGATTACGGCAGCTTTAAAAGAACCGTCTGATGCTCTTAAGACGAAAGAGATGTTTTGGAAGCAGAAGTGTAGAGTATTTTGGTTAAGGGAAGAAGATACAAATACTAAATTATTTCACGTCCTCACGAAGCAGAGAAGAGCGAGCAACATGATTACATAATTACTGGATGAAGATGGGAATGTTGTTGAGGATGAGGAAGAACTTGTAGCCATTGCTACAAGTTATTTTAGACACATCTTCAAATCATAAAACTCTGAGGATATAGAGGAAGCACTATCTGAGGTGTCTACAACCATTATCAGCAGACAATGAGCATCTCACAGCTCCGGTCACCGAATGGGAGGTCAAATTGACTCTTTTTGCAACGCATCCAGAGAAAGCCCCAGGGCCATATGGAATGACTGCACTGTTCTACCAGAAATTTTGGGATATTGCAAAGGATGATCTAACTCTTATGGTTAAGCAATTCATGTTTGAAGGCACGTTACCTACTGGTTTAACTGATACCAACATATGTCTCATTCCGAAAGTAAATAAACCGAACCAGATGAGCCAGCTACGTCCCATCAGTTTATGTAACGTTAGTTACAAGATAATCTCTAAGGTCCTATGCCAGAGGTTAAAAAAAATTCTACCAGATCGGATCTCAGAAATCCAGTCAGCCTTTGTTGCTGGGAGACAGATATCTAACAACATTATGATTGCTCTGGAGATGTTTCATTCTCTAAGAACCAAACCGATTGGACGCAACAAGAGGATAGCCATTAAAACAGACATGAGCAAGGCGTACGATAGAATGAAGTGGTCCTTCATCAAGGCTACCATGAGAAAGATGGATTTTTCGGAAATTTGGATGACCTGGATAATGCGATGTATAACATCAGTAAAGTATAAGGTCCTTATGAATGGCCATCCAAGAGAGAATATTGTCCCAGAGAGAGGTCTAAGGCAGGGGGATCCTCTGTCCCCTTTCATTTTTATTCTATGCACGGAAGCGCTCGTTAGCCTTCTAAATCATGTAGAGAATCAAGGAAAGATAACGGGGATGCGCATCACGCGTGCGTGTCCTTCGGTATCTCGCCTTCTCTTTGCTGATGATAGTTTGTTCTTTTGTAAGGCGGAGCCCCGTGAATGAGAAGAAGTAATGAAAGTGGTCAGGAAATATGGACAAGCTTCAGGACAATGTATTAATTTCAAAAAATCATCTCTACTCTTTGGTAAGAGAATCGGACATGATGTTAGGAAAGAGATTAAAGAAACATTTGGGATTCAGAATGAAGGAGGGATGAGAACATACTTAGGAATCCCAGAGGATATCAGTGGATCCAAATGCAAGCTTTTTGCCTTCTTAAAGGATAAGCTAGGGAATAGAATAAATGTATGGACGGGCAGATGGTTATAAAAAGGTGGCAAGGAAGTTATGATCAAGTCGATCCTGCTAGCACTCCCAACTTATGTAATGTTCTGCTTTCTACTTCCGTTGAAGATCTGTGATGCTTTAGCTAGTGCCATTGCATAGTTCTGGTGGAGTTCGAACCCCCCCCCCCCCCCAAAAAAAAGAGGTATACACTGGTCAACATGGGATAAATTATGCTTATCTAAGGAGGAAGAAGGGATTGGCTTCAGAATGATTCATGAGTTTAACATGGAATTGTTAGCAAAGCAGTTATGGAGATTGGTCCAATACCCAAATTCTCTGGTACCTCGAGTCTTGAGAGGCCGGTATTATCGATTGAGCTCGCCTTTTTGTCAGCTTACTATCAGTAGCCCATCGTATGTGTGGAAAAGTATATCGGCGGCACAAGAATTACTATTGCTGGGAGTTAGGCAGAAAATACATTCGGGATATGAGGTGAAAGTATGGGAGGATCCATGGATTCTTACCATACTAGCGAGACCAGCATCCCCATCTGCACCAGTTTTGCATCCAAACATGAGAGGGAGTGACCTTATTAATCAAGAAATAAATTCTTGGGATGTGGGCCGGCTGGAGAACTACGTAGCTGCTGCTGATATACCACTCATAAGGAGTATAGCCATTAGTCCAACACATTGCAGGGGCACGTATTGATGGAGCTATACAAGAAATGGACAGTACACAGTCAAATCTGGATATTGGGTTGCACAGAATATATTGATGAAGAAGGAGGAGGCTGTAGTTTGTGAACCTATTATCACAAAACTCCAAGCACATGCTTGGAAGGTCAAGGCACCCCCAGAAGATGTGCCATCTTATGTGGCAATTAATAACAGGTCATGGGGCTGTTACAAGTACTTTGAACTATAGACATATGAGATGTGATAATCACTGTCCATGATGTGTGGAACCATAAGAATAAGTTACACATGCAATCTTTCAGTGTCCACCTACAATGCAAGTTTGGGCCTTATCATCTACACCTACCAGCCCTACCTTATTTCCACTACAGAGCACATCGAATATGGACTATCTCTTTTGGAGGAAAAATGCCATAATGGAACAGGAATTGGACAGGGATCCATATCCATGGCTAATATGGTATATTTGGAAGGCTCAGAACGATAAGTTGTTCAAGAGAATTGATAGAGAGCCATTGGAGTTAGCCCGTTATGCAGAGAGTGAGTGTCAAGCCTGGTTCCAAGCTAATGAATAGATTATATCGCCATCTCAAGGAAACACAGATGTTGAAAGCCAGGCCATAAGTCTGGGGAATATTTGTATGATGGATGGCTCTTGGACCTCTACAGCTCAGTTTAGTGGATGTGGTTCGGTTTGGAATGACAGTATGGGGAATAGTCAGTTAATGGGTATGCGTAATTTTAATAGAGTGTAATCTTCTTTTTATTCTGAGTTGGAAGCACTGCGGTGGGAAATGGAGAATATGCTTCAACATTCGTCATGTCAGAGCTTTGAGACGGACTGTAAGGAGATGATAGCTCAGAAATCCTCATGACTGGCCAAGTTTTTCAATGGAATTGGAAAAACTCATGATGCTGTGGATTTGCTTTCTAGATTTCAAGATCTTCTATGTTCCTAGGACACATAATGGTTTTTATGATTCTCTAGCTAAGATTTCTCGATCTTTCTATATAGAACTTTTGTATGTTGGTTGTTCTATTCCGGTCTGGCTATATAGACCACATCAATCTTGAGTAATTGATCAACCATTTGATGTCAAAAAAAATGAAGCTTCACACTTATATGGTTTTATTATCATTTGTATATTTTTATAATAAAAATTTAAACTATTGATAACATCATTTTTAATTTGACAGATTTAATATTTACAGTAATTTATCATCGTTTAGAAAAGTTAAATTCAAAGTTTGTCATTAATTATTAAGTTATCAATACTGGTTCAATGCAATTTTGGAATTAAATATTTATGTATTTTTAAATGGTATATAGTTTAATTTAAACATCACTAAAATATATATATATATATATACATCTAATTTAATATATATTAAATGATTTTTCTTACTCATTAATTATATAAATGTTTGTGTCGTGCTATAACAAAAAATAAACTATTAATCAAAAATATTATATGTGAAATTTTAAAATTTTTTATTTATTTATAGTCATTTTAAAAAAAAAATTCAAAATATAACATATATCAAAAAATTAATTTTTTGTTATATAGTTAATATTATTGTTTAATTTATTTCACGATATAAATTTCACAAAAAGAGTAGAGGCTATACAATTTTTATCAAATATTTCATATTCAAATTATTAATTGTGATATATATATATATATATATATATATATATATATATATATATTATAACCATATTAGGTAATTCCGTAAATTTTATTAAGGAAATAATGAATAGCATTAATAATAGTTTTATGCTTAGTTTAATAAAAAATATATTATATATTTATATGGACCAACATTTTTCTCTAGTAAATTTGAGAAGCATTTTCATGATGACACGTGACTACCAAAACATGTTGTAGTGATTCTCAATTAATATATAGGAGATTATTTTATTAACAACAATAATAAAGCGTATTATGATAACTAGTTACCACATTGGCCTTAGTTCTTAATGGATGTAACGGCCCCCTCATCTCTCCAGTCCATGCTTTCACCTGTTTCACTGACATCTTCATATCCAAACGACATTTTTGGCCTTGATCAAAAGAAAAAAAAAAAATCCGACATTTTTTTGGCCGAGTTTATGCTGGACATACCTTCG